TAGGTACTGTGAACATATATAGATGATTCACTGATTTAATGAATATGTTGAGTACTTGCTATGATCATATTTCTGCCAGTGACGACAGGTTATAAGACATGGTCTGTACTGTTATAAACTTGTAAGTTAATTGAGGAGAGGAAAAAATGAGCTAAATTCATAGTTGGTTTAATATGTTGTGGTATCAGTGTGCCTAGGATGTTGTGGGAGCAGAGTGGCACATAGAAACCTGGGAGGAGAGGAGGGTGGCTCCCTGGAGGAAGTGGCACTAGAATAGAGTTTCAGACTTTTCAATAGTCAGAATATGTATTTTAGCACTAAAGTAAGAGTTTTGTAGACTCATAAAGGTAGAAAGGCTGCCCAGATGGGGAAATCATGCAGAACTGCAATTATTTTTCTAGGGTTTGTGCAAAGGATGGTTGGGGTATTATATGCGAATTACTATAATTCAAGGCAGATCAGGCTAAGTCTAGTTCTGAGATACAGAGAAAATGCTGTCATAGAACGAGGGTCAGAACAATTAACTTTTAAAAAATATAAGTCAGAGATTCTTGATTGTGGGCAGTACGAAGTGAACAGTGAAATTTATTGGAGCTATATTGGGCAGCTCACAGTTGAGGGGAAGGCTCAGCCAACGGGCAGGATTCTAGGCACAGATACACCGGGAACACAGCCGTGGGTGTGCTGCTTGTGTCCTTGGGATGAGGGCACCTTGGAGATCGCTGCTGCTCCCGGACTCCTGGTGATAATGCCACTGTGCATGATTTGTCAATCTCCTTTTGTCTTTCTGTCATCTCCTCCAGATTGAGTCAATATGAGGTTGATTGCGCCCTGGGCATCCTGACTGCTATATCAGGGAAGGGACGCTCTGACTTGAGAAGTGCAAGAAAGAACCTGCCCCCAAGACTCGCACAGTGTGTTCTGTGTTCTCTAGCACTAAAAGTGTTTAGTGGGGATGGAATAGTGGGGAAGGCATGTGATTGGAAATTAAACCAACTCTCATTTATTTTTCACTGCTATGGTGTTACAAGAACGATGTACTAATGCTTCTAACTTCTACTCCACCCACAATAGAAGCTGGATTCTGGGTCTGCAGATGTAGCTCCATCTTCCTGATCCATAACTAGGCTGCATTGAACTCTATGCTTTAAAGAGATGAAACACTTTCATGACTCATTCCTGCACTTCTGCTTTCCCATGCTGGGCTAATCTCTCACTGTGGGCTCCAGTGCAGCTCACATGTCTCTCTCTCCTTGTCACTGCAGTCCTGTGTCCCTTCCTTAAGTCAACAGGTGCTGATGAATTACTCCTGGGCCTCCAAAGCATTATGGACCTCTAAGAGAGCACTTGCTCAACAGTGGCAATGAATTTGGGTAACTGTGTTCACGTTGGATTCTGGAACTAAATCATAATATCCTAAGGCTGAAAACTAGTCACCTAACTAGTTTCTTGGTATTTATAGCTCCTATCACTATGTTCACTTGAACTCAATCGTTACTTTAAAGTTTAACCTTATTTTCTGCATTTTGGTTTACACTGATAATATGTCAGAGATATTTCTTAAGTAAGCCTTACAAAGTTAAACATCAGACAAGTTCAAAGTTATTTATTACATTTTCTACCTTGAGAACGTCTAAACTAAATAGATAATAGTGTATTCATGTCACTTGTTTTCTAGAAGAGATGGATTAGTCTAGGGATTATATTTAAGGTTTGATGCCCATTTTGAAGACCTTCATGTATAGGGGTTGGGAATTTGGGAAGCCCCTCCTCCCAAATCTCTACCTTAAATCTGCAGTTTCAAATAATGGCTCCTTGAAAAAAAGAGAGTGAGAGAACATATTCAATGTATGCTTTTGTTTCGTGGTGGAGATTCCAGTTTCTTTTCAAAAAATATGTGTGTTTTGTGCAGGTGTTTGTAGAGGAAGGTATCACTGCCTGGTTGTGCTTTACTCAGCTCTTGGGTACCCAGACTGTGATTTGGCTAATCCAGAAGAGCTGGATTGTCCTCAGAGGAGGACTTGTGAACAGACCAGCATTTATTTTTCAGGTAGTGATCATAGGCTTTCTAAGCCCCTTCGAAGTGTTGTTTCCAGGGCATCTGTCTTTCTGAGCATGGCGTTTCGCTCCCTAGAAAAACTTTGAATTCTACCAGAATCAGAAGGCTTGATTGCTTACTTTTAACTTTGAGTTTGCTGGCACACTCAGCAAATTCCTTACGTCTTAGAAAGGAAAGGTGGAAACCACAGAATTGTTTGTTGCTGTGGTTAAACTCTCCATTATTAAGTTATAGGAAGTTATTCTAATCTAGACAGTGAAATTGTTTTCAAATGCATTAAGAGGTTTTAGATTACACATAGCTGGCAAAAAGTCTTGCACTTTGGTGACATAACACTTGGGACTTGTTTTGCAGTTAGTGGTATCTCTGGGCTGCAGACCTCAAAGCACCAGTATTAGCTGCAAAGTAAGTGCTCCCTCCACTTAGGGAACTGAGAAATACAGGAATTATGTGGAACTTTGAGAGATTGGCTTTGGAGGGATCTTTAACCTTTTCTTGAAACTCTTACTCAATCGTGAGACTATTCCAGAGAATAATGCCATGTTTTTGCCATGAGTTAGCAGGTATTAATAGTAAGAGGGCACATGCTTACGCACTGCAGACCTGCAGAAGTTAGCAGGTGCACAGCATGGTGCTTGCCTTCAGCAGGCTGAGTCTTCACCCAAGCAATGATATCAGTAGCTGTGTGAAAACTACTGTATTACACACACTAGGCAGTTGAAGTTCAAGTGCCAAGTTTTGTGTGCTCAGATCCTAATTGTGGGGATAGTTGAAGGAAGAGAGGCCAGTGTGTATGTGTGTGTGTGTGTGTGTGTGTGGCATTCTGGAGGAGGTAAAATGTAGAGGTACATTTATTGGGTTGAACTTTAAAGTAGTTGGGGCTGCACGTGAAGCCAGAGGATGGCCAGAGAGAGAAGCAAAGGAGTCTTCTACTGACAGATGACATGGAGATTCTGTAAAGAAGAAGGAAGCATTCTTGGTGAAATGGGTCATAGTCATAGTAAAGCTGTGTGAGTGGTGATCCTTAGATGAGGTTCTGATTTGAAAGAATACAGTAACTCAGTTGCCACCAACAAGTTCAGCCCCTGAAGGCAGCTGTACTGTACACATCACACACTTGGGAGCCCGCAGAGCCCGTGACAGCCCCCGTGGGGGCTTTCTGGGTGGGGTGGGTATCTGGGAGCCAGCTGGGGTTTCTCACAGCTCTTGCTTCCACGTGTGAACAGCTAACAAGGGAAACAGCATTTCCCCTCATCCCTTGGTTTGCTTTTGGTTCCTCGTTCCAGGTGTCCTTGACTCTGTGGGTTGGATCACTACCCTGCACTGTGCCTGGAAAAGAGACTCAGTTTGTGCGTTGGTGTTCCCGTGAAGACGGGAACCGTATAGGTGGGGGAAGGATGAGGGTGGGATGAGGTGGGCCTGTCTTAGAGACTTGCTGTACGGCCCGGAATCCCATGCAGACTTTGTGAAGCACAGAGTGAGAAACCAGCAGCTAAACTGCTTCCTTGGGGCTGTGTCCGTGCTGGGCTCACTCACTGTCTCTTAGTGCTAGTGGAGTGAATGGTTCCGGGGCTTCTCTGTCTGCAGGGTCAGTTCTTGTCATCTGCTCAGCTGTCCCAGGAGTGGGAATGTGACTAGTGAGTGTGTGGGTCCCCAAGGTTTTGAGGTACATGCCTGTCTTAATGGCCTTATGGTCTAATTAATTAGTCACTTTACTGCTAGCTTTGGCTTTGTGGGATTATGAGTAGACAAGAAACTCTTCAAATTACCAGTTTGAAGAGATTGCTGAAAAATACTGTTTTTCTTCTAATGCAGTTATCTTTGGGGTGAGGATTTTAATAAAAAGAAAAATTGTATGACTTTTTCCCCAGAGTAAACTAAGTTACCTTTGCCGAAAAGACCCTGAAAGTTGGTGCCCATGAGAGCAGAGAAGGAAAACTGCTGTATGTGCAGTGTCAGTGTTACTGTAGTGGTCTCTCACGTTCAGAGTACAGTGTCACATTTAATTGCAACAGGAAGCATACTCTGGTTTGTGTGTGGAGCAGATAAACTGGAGCTGAAAAGCCAGTGCTTGGCAGAGGACCAGAACCCATGGCCCCGGCTCCATGCTGCAACACAAGACTCTGAAGCCTTTGAGGGAGCAGAGCACTCTGTCCTGGGCTGGGGCATTCTCTTGCTAGCACATGGTCTGGCCAAAGGACCATCCCTCTCTCTATCTCTTACATGTTGTAGCGACAGCTGCTCTTCCCACTTTAGTTTCCCTTCCCTGACCTCCCCTCCTCCTTCCTTTCTAGCCCCTCCTTGACCACAGGTCCTGATTTGTGATATATTCAGTCCCACAAAGTGCTTGACTTTTTTTTTTTTTAAAGACAGAGTCTCTCTTTATTGTCCTCTGTAGAGTGCAGTGACATCACAGCTCACAGCAACCTCAAACTCTTGGGCTTAAGTGATTTTCTTACCTCAGCTTCCCAAGTAACTGGGACTAGAGGTGCCCACCACAATGTCCCGCTATTTTTTTTTATTATAATTGTCATTGTGTGTGTGTGTGTTTTGTGTGTTTGTTTGTTTTCAACAGGCCCGGGCTGGGTTCGAACCCTCCACCTCTGGTGTATGTGGCCAGCGCCCTAACCACTGAGCTATGGGCGCCGAGCCAAAGGGCTTGACTTTTGTTAGTGGTGTCTGTGCTGCCCCTGCGTCTGGGTTATGGGAAAGCATTCACTGCCCACCCTTGGCATGTCTTGAAGATTGTTATGTTGCCCTCAGGGGTCATTTTGGTGGGTGGCTGGACTTGTGATAATTCTGAGTACTAACTTAGGAATTTTATGAATCAAAAAGACAGAGCTCACACTGAGAGTTGAAATGTGAGAATGCCTGGTGGGCTCTTGTGTATCACACAGGAAAAGGGAAGGCTTCTGGGTTCACCCAGCTTTCTTTCCTGCAGGTCCTCCTGTTTGTTACGGCCCCAGTGGTCCTGGCCAGATTCTAGAAGACTCCAACTACTTTCCCCCAGACTTCCAGCTTTATTCTGGGAGGCATGAGACATCTGCTTTGACAGTGGAGACAAGTAGTACCATCAGGGACAAAGTTGGTAAGTCCTTTTACTTGTGTTGGAAAAGCAAAATAATCTTATACTTCTCTGTTTTTAAATCTTTTGCATAATTCAAATTTTTCTTTATTCTCTGATCTTGTATTAAAAATCAGCACATTGGATTATTGGTTGTTTCTTTGCTGGTAGGTGCCTAATTTTATTTTGTGCTATGTGTTAATAGACTATTTTACTCTAATGTGTGACTTTCAGAGAGTTACACCTAAATGTGGACAGATTTCAGAAGTAAGCCATTTCCCCTATATTTTTTCCTAATTCCTAAATATTTTTTTCTACCCTTTCTCAGAATTTTTCATTTCCTTTTTCCTTCTCTGCTTTTATTTTTATCTCTTTTGGCAAACAATTCAGGAGTTCAGAAGAAATAATGTAAAAGTAGGGAAGGAACTGTCTCTTTTGTAAAAACTTCCTATATATTTTTGAGGGCTTTTGAGACTGATAAAACTATGAGGTTATCTTTAAAATCGCTTTAGGGAAGGATGTTACGGTTTTTGCCAAATGTACTTATAACTCATTTTTCTCTTCAGTGAAAAAGGAATTCAATAGTTTTCATGCTTGTGGAGATCCATTTCTTTATTATTCATCCAAACAAATCATTTTCCTTTAGAAATATATTTTTATTTGAATTTTTATTCAAGTATTGTTTTAAAATATTAATTCTTACTTGGATGCACTTGTTCCAAGAAGCCTTTCAGATCAGTTGCTCTGAGCATAAGGACTGTGTTTTCTTTATTCTCTTAACCCCTGAATCTAACCCAGTGCCTAAAATAATTGTAAATATTTATTTATAATAAATATTTGTGGAAGGAATGAGTGGACCAGTCCACAGTCTGACCCACGTTGATCTTTCCATCCTCCTATTATTCATTGTTTATTACAGTTATTTGGCAATTCATCTTGTGTGGGCTATTTATAATGTTTTTAATGTTTACAACTTTCTATTGTTGAACCTTGGGTTTCTATCTCAGTTGTAGTATATGCTCTCTGAAGTTAAAGGCTTCAGTGTGAATTTATTGTGTGAATTTATTTCACATGCATTTCTATGAGGTGGCTATGAAGTCGCTTCATTTTTCAGAGAGGTGCAGAAAAGCCACAGAGGCAAGATTTTGGGAGGTGGGAGTGACAGGGAGATCCTTATGATCAAAGTTGACTTTCAGGAACCAGTCTGTAAAATGTTTCAATTTTCTCAACAATCAGGTCTTGAATGCCTTCTGTGTATCAGGGCAGGTTCTAGGCAAGGGTAGACAGCACGTGGATGTAAGATGACACTGCCAGTAGAGGAAGGCAGGTAATCAGCCCAGTATGGATTGAAAGTGGAAGAGGCCAGAGGCAGGAGATACTGGGAGGCAATTGGGAGCACGTAAGCAGCTGGTAAGGAAAACAGTGACCCATGGAGAATGGACTGGATGGTGCATGTGTTCATGTGGAAACGAGGGCTTGCATTCAATTTTTAACTGTTACATGTGAAATTTCTTACTGAAAATTAGGGGACCAACACAGTTACAGTTTTTTGCTATTGCAAGGAACTGAAAATGTCATCTGCTGTTATAACCTTTCTCATATTTTAATACCAAAAAAGTAAGAGGGATGTAATCCTTGACAGACCTTGCCTAAAAAAAATAGTTGTAAACCTTCTAATGACTAGCATGTGTCTGTGTATACACGCATGCAGCTGTGTTAATGTGCATACATGTATATACCTTATAAGCAAACCATATCACCTTCATTTTTCTCATTTCATTGTGGACTCAGAAAAACTAGCTTGGCGGTCGATTAAATGTGGAGTGTGAAGGAGAGAAAAGGTCAAAAATGAATATGAAATTTTTATCCGGATGACTCGTGACGGGGATGTCATTTATAGGGGAAAAAGATGTACTTGGGGAAGAAAGATTTTTTTTGGAAAATAATATGCTCCTCTGTGTATATAAAACCGCAGCGCCATCACTGCGAGGAATTGTCCACCTGAAGGCTGCCTAGATCTAGTCCTGCTCCCTCAATTTACAGGTGGGACACTGAGGCTCAGAGAGAATAAGTGACACTTGAGGTCATGCCAGTGGTGAGTGGTAGAATTTTTACTCTCACAATGCTGTTGTGAAGTAGCCTTAGTTCACTACTTACTACTATTGTAAAATGGGCTCAGTGTTACATTTCATGAAGCTCATGTAGCTATTCTTTCACTTTTAAATGTCTGAACCCCCATTACTTGCAGGCATTCGACTTTGTGCTGGAGAGGCCCAGATAAGAAGACACGATCTTTACCTTTAAGACATTTCCAGTCTTATGTAAATAAATAATTACCATCTACTGTGCTAATTGCTCCAGTAGACAAATGGAGTGGGGCTGTAGGAGAAGGTGGGCTCAAGCCTGCTGGGCTGCAGTAGGAGAAGCTTTACTCAGAAGGCAGCTCTGGATCTATTAGTGAAGCACTTCTGTAAGCATCTCCCAGGAGACATGATGAGCTGCATCTTTCTAGGCAGAGGGAAGAATGCAAGCAAAGGCTCAAAGGCTGGAGAGAGAGAGCATTTCTTACGTACTTCTTATGTATTGTTGGAGCTTAAACTCCGGGGGGTGGCATGAAATGCTGCCAGACAGACAGGCAGTACCTGCTATACCACTTGATAGAATGTCAGTTTCATCCTGTAATTGATCACTGAGGAATTTTGTGCAGAAGAATGACACAACAGGATTAGATTGTCCTCTTGGAACAATCTTGCAAGGTACTGTGGAACGTAGATTGGGGTCTGAAGAGGGGTATTTGGAAGTTGGAATGAGACTAGAGTCAGGGAAACAGATGAGCAGACTATTGGAATGGCCTGGGGATGAGGCTCCAAGGGCTTGTAAGACCGTGCAATGAAAAGAGATTTGGTGTCAGACCCTGGCTCTGCATCTTCTTCCTCTGTGACTTCTGTGATTTTCCTTCTCTCATCTTCTCTCCCATCTGTAAACTGGGGGGATTAATATCTGCCTCTTAGGATTATACGTGGAATAAATGAAGTTACACCTGGAGAGAATGAGTATTTACCTGGCCCATCTGTGGACACATTTTAAGGAGTTCTTATGGTTGTCGTATTATGATTATTAATGAGGAACTTGGAGATTGGCACAGGAATAAGGAGAGAGTTGGCAGAGATGTTGGGAAGGTAGAATTGACAAGCAGTGACTGACTGGATGTTGAGGGTAAGGGAGAAGAAGGAACTCTGAAAAATTCCCAGGTCTATGGCTTGAAAGAAAGTGGACGAGGTGGGAGATACCAGTGTTGGGATGGGAGATAC